GTGCAAAGTCCGCAGCGTCGAGATGCTCGGATTTGGGCTTCGCATCCTGACGGCAGTGACATCACCGTCACGACTGATGGGGAAACGGCCCGTGGTGGTCGTGCTATGGGACAGGTGTCTGCGGCGTGTCTCCAGGGCTCTGTCTGGACAAGTTTGAAATTACCTGCATGGCGGGGTTCCTCTTCCTTCCCTGGGCGCGTTGTGCCGTGTTCCAAAACCGGCTTCACAGGCAGAGCCGTTTCTCGCAGCGTGATGAGGGCTTCCCGTTGCGAGGATCCGTTATCCGCGAAGCGCGAGAGCTGTGATGAGCGGCCGCGTCCTTCCTTCCCGACCGCCGGCTTCTGCGGAACGCCAGGAGTGTGCGGAGCTCTCCCGTGGGGACCCACGGGGCAGCAAAGGATTGAGCAGCTCGGGTACAGTATTTGGATCTGCTTAACGTTCCCGTGCTCTGCCGTGTCCTGAGCTGCAGCCCAAGTGGCAAAGCAGCCTGAAAAGTTCTCAGGACACGTCATTGGGGCCTCGGGGGTGGAAGGGAAATGCTGTTAATGTGCCCCGTTGGGGTGTTTTTTGCTTTTTTCCCCTGTCAGCTTTGCAAAAGCGTCTTTGAACTCTTAGGTGGAAGGAGATGTATTTTCCCAGCGTGAGCTGGCCGAGTTCTGGCTGCGCCTCGAAACGCGCTTCAGCGGTTGGAAATCGGCAGCAGACGGAATGTGACACCAGGAGGCTGCGCTGGCTCCAGTTCTCTCTCACTGGTGGTTTTCTTGTCTCTTGTGCCCCCCCCAAAAATAGCCCCTTTGTTAAGAAAAGAAAGGGAACGCTTCACCGCGGGGACCGGGCTGGTACGAAGCCCGTGCAGAGAAGTCGGAGAGCGGCCGGCACGTCCGGGCTGAGCACGTGCTGCGGGAGGTGCGTGTCGGCTGTGTTCTCTCTCCCTATTTATAGGATCCGGGAAGGCGGGTGGGATCCGCATCCCCACGCCGGGCTGCGTGCACGGAAGCAGAGTTGGGGTTTGATTTCGGTGGGAGCTGCGGAGAAAGGAGAGAGCCTGGAAGCCTGAGAGCACTTTTTAACGGCACGCTGGGTTTGCTATGGCAACCAGAAATATGTTTATTGACAGGGTGGTGTGGCTTCAGTTATATTCTTGGAGAGCATTCCCTGACGGCCCCGTCCGACGTTAACTCTCGAGAGGCGAGCTGGCCGCGGGGCGCGCGGTGTCGTCTCGATAGGAACGGTGTTCGTACAGTCGTTAACGAGCGATG